GTTCAATAAAAAAAGCAGGTAGCCGAACCGTTGGTCACCGAGGAAGCTTTTAAGGTGTACCTTAAAGGCAAATAGATCAGTCTGGGGAGGGAAGTGTAGAACTTAGGGCCCTGGCTGCTGAAGGCATGGCCATCAATGGTGCAGCAATTAAAACTGGGAATTGACTAAGAGGCCGGAATTATATGAACACAAATGTCCTGAAGGCTTTTAAAACTGGAGAAGATCACTTGGAGGTAAAGGGATTTGAGAATGAGGTGGAGAATTTTAAAATTTTAAATGCATGTCTGATCTAGTCAAAAACATCTAGCAAAAGAAATGTTGAAAGTGTTTTAGCTTTCAAAGATCATTTAACTTAATTTTGAGGGGATAATTTCTTTGATTTACTTACTTTAGCAAAAGAGGTTAGAAATTGGATTTATATTCAAACCAGCATTTTTATTGAGCAAACAAAAACACTCAGCTTGTCTAACATCAGCCCTGGGATAACACTGTGGGGCACCAGCATATGAAAATCTGCTGTATTTATTTATATACTGGGAGAGAAATTTCAGATAAAGGTGTTTAGTGCAAGTGTGTAATACCCAATCACGTAATTTCAGAATTACTGGAGTTTATAACTGAGAACAAGGGTCCTTTTGTTTCATTTCTTTTTCTGGTGTTGCTCTGATTACGCTGTGAGGAGATGGTTGAGAGTGACCTGAAATTACTTTCCTGGCAAATTTCCCTTCTTTCCTGTGCCAGCTTCCACTCAGTGTCTCTCCACAATGACAAGCTAAGATTACAATCTCACCACTGGGGAAATCACAAGCATGGCCAATGTCCCACTCCTCTTTAATTCCATGTGTTAGTGTTCAAATGTGCTTCACTGTTATTACCACTTTTGATAATTATTCAGATTCTTAATTTTGCTGTAAGCTTACCCAATTGACATTGCACTAGAGAAAAAGGATGAAATGCTTCTAAACTGTACAATGCAGTACCAAGGCTCCAATCTAAATGTCTTCTCCTTGGTCTTTCAATAAACGTTAACCCATTTGTTTTAAACAGCAGAGAGAGAAGCTTTGTCCTAATGAGTGGATTTTGAGCATCGTTTCCGTGTTTTATTTTTCCCTGTCTTTCTCTGTTAAATTCATTTCTGTGCAGTCTCCTTTCCAATCTGGGAGAACATGGGGCATCAACTTTCTCAGCACTGGTCAGCAACAGCCCGGCTCATGCATCCTGCTGCACCAGATGGCCTTGTAGTTTTGCACACACTCAGCTTGGGGTCTGTCTGTGATTAAAAATGTAAAATTGACATGCCAAGTGTGAAGCCTTTCTTGGCTCTCAGTGATTGCCCATAAGAGAGTTAAGTTGAAATGGTGAAAAGGCAATGCAATTTTAATGCTTCATTCCTCAAGGTTAGATTTCAACCCTTTATTATTCACATTCAGCCTGAATGACCGTAAAATTCTCAGCAATATATTTGTGTAATCTTGATTCTGATCGTGATCAAACTGAAACTTATTCAACTTTTTGATGTTAATTGCAATTTCTCCTAAAAAAAAGTCTCAAAACTGTGCCGAAGAGAAAAGGTGAAATTCAATTATCTGGCAACACATTAGAGTTTTAGGTTAATGAGCTTTTAAGTCAATGGGAACAAAAGGTTTGACCTCCTCACTGACTATTATGCAAACATCACTGATGGTTAATTTTTCACTTGAAGTGATTTATATCATTCTCTCCTTCCCCTTATTTGGTTTCTATGTCGAGCGTTCCCATGTCCAAGGAAAGTCAGGCGATCTGTTCTTTGGCTCACTATCACAGTCGCCAGAACTGACAGAGACCTCCCTGCAGTTTGGGCTAACTCACCTTCTGGTTTTCATTCCCTTCCTGTGGGGAATCATCTGGTATGTCTGCATGGACTGCACAACTCAGATCAAGAGCTTACTGTGTGGGCATGCGAGGGTGTGAATCTGTAACCCACTGCTCCTCTGCCACACTGCGATACCATGGCATTGCTCGTGATTCGGAGTATTTTTTGATAGCAGCTGTATCGGGAATGGGCAGCAGTAGGTTTGAAACCGAGATGTGGCAACGACCTTTGGAAAAGGACAGTCGGTTGCATAGGGGCTGGACTGTTTATGGATGGGGTGTTGCTGGGGGGATTATAGAATAAAACTGCACAGTAGTGATTGGAATCAGGTGTTTCTGTAGATGCATTAATTCATGTGATTGAATTGTCATGTTTAAATTTAGAAGGTAATTAAGGACAACCTAAGGCCAAAGAAAAGGCACCGCATTGTTGATTCATTTCATTCAGCCTGACATGTCATTTTCTTTATTTAAAAATATCTTTTCACTGTATCTTACACTGTTTTATTTAAATAAACATAGTCAGTTCACATGTATACATGTAACTTAATCACTATGTACAAATGCAAGGTTTCAGTAAGATTTACTCAGCTGCTTCTTCTTTGCTCCCTGTTTGCTAGTTCCCACATTTTTTTTGTCATCAAGGCAGTAGGGACATCATTAAATATTTTCATCCTGTTGCCAAATAACTAATATAGGTCCATTATTAGTGTCTTCTGCGTAAATGTGAGTGGTCTTTGACTGATTATTTCTGCTCAAGTACAACAAATAAAACGCAAATCATTTATTGGTGTCACCTCGAAGCACAAACAGTTAATTTCAGTCCCATTTTACAGCTGTACTCTCATAATTTTTGTTTCTGCACTCTGTCCTAGAATTTTCAAGGTTGTATACATTATAGAAACTTTGACAGTGAAATATTTGCAGATTTCACATTGAGGTAAAAGTACAAATGTATAAACTCATCAAGCTCTGATTATGGAATACAATAGTGAAAGACTGAATCAGACCGTTGGGCTTAACAGCAGATGGAATACACCTACAGCACAAAGATTGGATTAAAAGACGTACTTGGGTAGTTTACTGGATGACTGGGATGAATTATCGACTTACTTAGCCTCTGTTTAAAAGTCCTGAACAAGAGGGCTTTTTCACTGAGTGCAAAGTATTGTCAATGTACTGAATGTGAGCAGAGCTCTGTGTCAGACCAGCAGCTTCTTATAACTGCAGGATATACATGTATGGAAGAATTTTCCAGGCTGCAAGGAGATGAAGGTGCGTACATGTTAGAGAAATAGCAGAGAATCATGTCAAACATTCTAATGAAAGGTCATTGATCTGAAAGTTTAGCTCAGCTTCTCTCTCCATAGATGCTCCCTGTGATCAATGCTCAGCAAGCATTCCCAGCATTTTAGTTAAACTCCCCCCTTCATTAAGAGCTTGATTAAAGACAAAATCCTGCAGATGCTGGAAATTTGAAACAAACACAGAGAACACTGGAAAAACTTAGCAGGTCTGACAGCATCTGCGTGGCGAGAGAAACAGAGTTAATGTTTTGTGTTCAATATGGTTCTGAAAAAGAGTCAGAGCCTGTAATTTGTGAAAAAGGTATCATTCTCTTTATTTTTTATTTGCTTATTAAGAGTTAAGTATTCACGACTTATTGGAAACGAAGCTTGAGTAAATATTTGTACAGATTCCTGACTTACATTTCCATGTTGAGTGTATGATAAAGCAAAAATTAGAGCATACGAAATAAGAACAGGAATAGGCTGTTAAACCCCTTGAGCCTGCTCTACCATTCAACAGGATTTTGGCTGATCCAACATTCCTCACATCCATTTTCTAGCCCTTTCCCTGTAACTCTTGATTCCCCGACTGATCAAGAATCCATCTCAGCCTTAAGTGTACAGCTTTCTGTGGTAAGCAGATCCAAAGACTCACAACCCTCTCAATCTTAAATTGGTGTCCCTTTATTCTGAGACTATGTCCTCTGGTTCTAGACTCTCCCATGAGGGTAAACATCTTCTCAGTATTTACCCTGTCAAGCCCCTTAAAATCCAATATGTTTCATTGAGATCACCTCTCATTCTTCTAAATTCCAATGAGTAGAGTCCCAAACATTTTAAACTTCGCTCATAAGACAATCCCTCTGTGCCAGGAATCAACTGAGTGAACCTTCTCTGAACTGCCTTCAATGAAATGATTTCCTTCCTTAAATAAGGGGGCCAAAACAGCTCCAGATGTAGCTTCACCAGCACCTTGTATAGTTGCAATAAGATTTTCTATCTCTTATAGGGGAGGCAACAGCTTACTGGTATTATTGCTAGAATATTAATCCAGAAACTCAGCAAATGATCTGGGGATGGGGGTTTGAATCCACCGTGGAAGACCGTGGAATTTGAATTCAATTAAGAATCTACTGATGACCATGAAACCATTGTTGATTGTAATAAAAACCCATCTGGTTCACGAGTGTCATTTGGGAAGGAAATCTGCCATCATGTGACTCCATA